AAACTGAGAACGATATTGACCTGTTCCCCAATTCCAATTCCAAAGACCTCCTGGACAATTCTAAGTTCAACGAGCAAGGTGGAACCTTTGAGAAATCACAAATGGCGCCTATACGCCTGGAAAGTGCGTGGAGACGGAATCTAGAACAAAAAGGTTGGTCAGACAGGGCCATAAGTCCACTACCACTTTGTCTGGCTCCAAGCACTGTTAAAGTGTACAGCGGAGCTATTCAGAAACTACAACAATTTTGTCATGATAATGAACGGCCATTTCCGCGATGTGGTGAAATAACTATAATAGTTGACTTTTTGTGCTCAATAGCTGATAGTTCATCTAGACCATTATCTCAAATAAAGACAACAGTCGCTGCTCTCACTCACTTGTTCAAATGTACGAACGAGGAGTCAGTTTTGGACAATTACGAAGTCAATATGATGATCAAAGCATTGATTAAATCTAATACTCTACAACCCCGTAAACGGTCAAAGATCACGCCTGTGGAACCGTTTATCAATTTATTTCGTCAATGGCCAAACAATCTGCATCTACAGCTTAAATTGTTAAGGTTAAGGGTTATTGTTTTGTTGTCTTTAACATTAATGTTGAGACCCTCGGACATAGCCCATAAAGGCGTTGTGTTTGATCCCAATGACAATGTGGAAAAAGCAGTGGTATTTTCAACTGATGACGTACTTTTCCATGATGATGATAGCGCAACCATATGGTTGCATGGTATAAAGAATGACACTGACAGGTCAGGATTCGAGGTACATCTCCCACCAGGATCAGAGAGAACAGTTAACCCAGTTGAAGCTCTTAAAGTGTACATAGAACGGACAAATGGTGTTAGGCCCAAACAGGATATGCCAGTATTTCTAACACTGCAACGACCTTACAAGGCTTTATCTGCTGCTACTGTCGGTTCGATCCCAAACGAAGCAATCAGATTAGCAGGTTTAGGTGGATGTTATACAGCTAAATCTTTTAGGCCGACGGGGGCGACTAAGGCTATAGACATGGGGTTTGAACAAGATACAATTATGCGCATGGGTCGTTGGAAGACAAGATCAGTGTTCTTTGACCACTTTGTACACAGTAAAACCCCTGCCTCTTACACAACTGATGTTTACACAAAATGAGGTTTATTGTTTGCATTTATGATGTTTCGATCATGTCTATTACATAAAACGTTAATTTTCATATACATTTTGCAGAATGCATGCATTTTCTTTTAAATATCTGGTAGTAGCTCTCTATTTAGGCTATAACTATTATTTTAGTTTTGTGGTGTGTTGATAATGTAGGTTTCGGTAAAGTAGAGTTTAAAACATTCACTCCAGGTCAAATATGTGAAACCCATTCCTGGTGTCCTCACTCACTCACTCACTTACCTCGAAGTGCTGTTTATTTGAACTGATAGTTTATTGGTGTGAAAAACAGGTTTATGTGTATACATCTTTATACATCATATAGTTGGTTGACTAAGGACGAGAATAATCTTTAGTGGTAAAAGCTTTCTCAAGTATTCACTTCCTCACACATCACGTGCAGACGAGAACAGTAAACATGAACAGAAACTATCAATACTGTTGTGCTGACACCTGCACATGCGTAAACGGACATGTAATTTGCACGGTTGCGCTTGGGTTGTTTTCTGTTTATATTAATTAAAACCTATTTCAAATCATTAACAACATATTTTGAAATATTGACCGTTTAACCTTTTTGCGATTTATTAATAACCTTTTGCGATCAAATAAATGAGTAAATATTTACTTAAATTGCACACTCCAGAAGTTCCTAAAGGCTAACCTATACGGTAGTATTGGAATGGGTGTAAGGGCGACACGCCGAACTATTACATGTCGCAGTTAAAAGATATGTGTAGCCTATGTGTGACAAAAAGGTAAGCCGTGACACCAAAAGTAATTGCAAGATACTATTTGAATTAACTGTTACTTGAGGCTTGTAACTTCGGTCATGCTAAAACAATGTTACAATTCCAATATTAGAAAGATATTTAAATCATTGACATTCGTTTTGATGTGACATTACCAAAAGAAAATATGACATTAATTGCAAGTAATGTTGACACATCGGTAACTCAAGTTTGGCGCACTCACAAGGTGTAATAAGTAGTAACTGTGACACAATAAAATACCCTATCTGCTCGGGTTGGTAAGTGTTCTAATTAGATCTATTAATTCTCGTAACCCTTATTGTAATTCCATTCAACCTGAAGAGGTAAGATGTTATACTACACGTTTAATCTTCTTTTCAGTTGGAAGGTGTTCGTATGGACATGTGAATATTAATTCCATTTACTTATTTGATGACCAATAATCCAAATTAGTATATTCTAGTAACGTCGACCAGTTTACTCAAGTATCGTCACTGAGACAAAATGACTTATTATGAATATCCGCATACCAGTGGCATCTAGTTTATCCCTGTTCTTGTGGAAGTATCATGCAATATTTAGTGCATTGTTCATATTCAGTAAGTTAGCACGTAGTTTTGGTTTGTTGGTACGCTGACGCCAGACTAGATTATAGTGTACGCCAACATGCTGTAAGATTTCCCCAGAAGAATGTATTGTCCCACAGTCTGAATAGGAAATAAATGTGTATTTGACCATGCGATACTAACACGTGGCTGATATAGTCCGTGAACTCCGCATATTTGTTTGTGGTTTTAGTTGTATTGTGTAACTGCGGTATATATTTCTTCCTTGTCTGAAGTCACAGCTATAATACATGGCAGGTACGTAATTAACCTACTTCTCCTTCACTGTTATGTCTTACGACTTGCATATTATCTGACTTGTCGGGAGCACAGGTGGCCCCGTTGTCAAAATCGCTGCTATTTTGTGAGCGGAGTTCACACGGGTTGGAATCCCGATTAGCCCGATTATGTTTCTAGGTTGGTAGCATTAAACCCATGCTCGTGGGTTTCACCAAAGTGATAAACACTGAGACCCGCATCACTTCGGGTGTTCCTCCCACATCAAGGTGACACGCCGTGATACTGTAACTGAAATACTGTAATGTTCAAAGCGGCAATAAACCCATTTCACTCACTATCTTACTTGACGTCGAGATACACAACCAAGACTTATGCAGTTTTTCACCTTGCCTTGTATGTTTCTGGCATAATAACATGATCACATCAAAGCACTGAATAGTTGATAAAAAGTTGTATAATCATATCATGTAGATTAAGTGGTACATAATTATATTTCCTCCCGATAAAATCATAAACCTATAAATTGTATATTGTACAGATTGGGTTTACAGTGTACAAATGCTGGTGTTGCTTTTGGAGTCCAAGAAACATGCATAACCTCCTAACAGACTTCCATGTTAAAAAAACCCACTAATAATATCCAACAGTTAATCCGCAAAGCTCTTCTCGGACATAAATGCAAATAAGTAGAAACTATAAATACTTCCCTGACATGCGTGCTTTCATAATATATGGGCTCTGATCTAATCAATTCATGGTAATCTGATACCATATCTGAGCTGTTGACATGCACACTAGCTTACATCTAAATACAGCATGCCACACATGACCATGGTGTCCCTGACATGCATGTAAAGACGTACCCCGGTAATCATTCACACAGTCGTTTACCGCTGATTACAACACGGAAGTAATTGTTACACGAACATAGGTCAGGTTATGGTGTGTATGATAATGAGACATTTTGTGGAATGTTCAAATATGAATCTTCACAAGCATTGCTCGCTTATATATAGATCATGGATCTTATGATTGTCAAAAATAGACGTCGATACTTAACTAAATGTTTCTCATTTTCTTGGTGAGGCGCTATAGCGGTGATGTGACTTTACATATTTTTTGCACATACGTTTCTTGATAATTTGCAACTGGTTTCAGTAATATATTTGACATTAAGCCAGTTTTATATTGCAAAGTAATGTTGAAAAGTATGCGCATATTTTACATTTAGTATAATAATATCGACATATCCTGTTGAAAAAAACATTTAAGTAAAAATTTTAAAGATATAATATTTCAATTAAGATTTTCAGTGATAAATGCATGCATATTTCACTGCTATTTTGAGTGTTATGACCCATGGAATCTATTTCATTGGATATTCGCTCTTTGGCGTTGAAGTTTAATGTCAAATTTTAGTGAACATTTAGCGTCAATATTTAAACCATGTCGACACCTGTATAACCTACAAGCAGTTTTGAAAAAAAAATTCCACAAGACCTCAATCATATTCGTGGTGAAATTATTTTCCTCAATATGGAAAAAAATATTTCCAAGTTGCATAATATAATATGCAGCCGCACTTGGTTTATAGTTGCTTTTGAACAACATACATGTTGCTATGCAGCTACAAAAAAACTATTTATTCCTGACCCATGAACGGACATGTGCGATAACACTACATTATGTTGTTCACATTGGCTCGTGAATCTTAGGGGGAATCAAATTTAACGTTACCCATCAGGAGTAGAAATTACTGAACGACAAATTTGCTATACCCATAGTCAAATGTAAAAGTCATCCCCGATGCACTATATTTGACCTGTGGTCGCATGTATAAACATACATAATCATCTTCTCATATGACTTAAGTAACTTGCCCATAATCCAGCGAGAGAAAATGTGCTTGTAAGTTTTAATACTAATCAGTGTCGTAGTTACATGTAATGTTTTGTACAATGTCACTGTAGCTCATGGTGAGATAACTTGTCATTCAGCTTTGTCTTCTAGGACGTACATGTTTACTCAATGAAGATTTATATTTAGCCCTTGCAGACCAACCACTACCTTCTTATCACTGGACCAAAGGTTATGTAAGCCAATGTCACAAGATACAGATTAGTCTCCGACATATAAAAAATACATATAATGAAAATTAATACATGCAAGGCTCGTTTAAAGGAGACGAAGAAGCTTTATTGACATATGAGCGATTCTAGACATTAACATATCATGACTACACAGTAATAACAATCAATTTGTATGTAATAATTATGTCAAAAGTAATAATCGGTTGTAAAATAACAATCAACAATGCAAATAAAATATCCTATTCTGTAAATAGAAATAGTTGAAACTTTTTTATAGTCTGGGGAGAAATAGTAATAATACCGAAACGTAAGATGCTGACTCGTACTGCAACATAGCATAAATAAATGTTAATTATAATAAATAACATTACTAGTAGATTACTTCAGGAAGATAACTTGTCATGAATTGTTTTTATCTGAAAATACTGCATGCATAAATCGCCCATGCAATGTTTAAGAAAGGTCTGTGTTGTAGTGTTTGTAATTTAATGTGTCCCAGTTCGGAAAATGACTGGATGTCAACACGTTTTCACAATGACAACAGTGATTATGTATATATATTTCAGGAATTAGAAATTGACGTGGAACTGTCATGGAAAATCGCTCTAAAATTACTTTATCAATATCATTTACAATTGACAGATAAGTGGACTTTTAGGCCATCCAATAAGTGTTGATTTAAAAAAAATACTGTTCTAGTTGTATGATGACTCAGGGGTTATATCGTGACCCAAACGTGCAAACCATGGTGGTATAATTAGGGAGTCATTGTCAGATGAAGACATGTTGCTTAACGAAATGTTATTTATAGTTAAATCACTGTCCTGTCTTACAAGTGGGCTGTAATATGCCCGTGGTCGTTGACCTGCAGAAGGATCCATGTCTTCCTCATAGATTTCATTGTAGCTGTTCCTACGGTACTGAAGTGGAACATTGTCTGCCGATTGCCCTGGATTTTCTCGCGCTCTTGTCGACAGTTTGCATACTCTAAAGGAAATAATGACATATAATAGATTGTCAGTTGATGTATGGATGTTGATGATGTAGGGCGTTTCGATTTGTTTCTTTAGCAGTAACAATGTTTGAATAGAGGCTTAGGGGAAGTGGAATATACCAGCATTAAATTAAGTAGGAAAGTTAGTTTACTTTGTTTTAAAGTTTCAAATAAGACGGGATGGTATACACATCTACTAAATATGTGTGTCTTATAAACTAAACATGTACACACTATTTATACTCAGCAGAGTAAGAATCTATACATGTTATGAACGTTCATACAACATGATCTGTACATGTATTATCTGTTTTTAGATAGTGGAAATCATGTTTCACACTCGCAACTCACAATTTTACGGGTGTAAAGGGCGATATTAAGAATCCGAAACATTTTCCTGTTTGTGAGGAATCACACTTGAAACTAAAATATTTAACGATAACACAGATTAACCTTTTTATATGAATTTATGGTTAATGTATATTCATACTCAAATGTAATGATAGAATTTATCGATTTTTTAATGAGGGAGTTTAGTAAGAAAATGTAACTTTGGCTATCTCCCTTCGATTATGATACTATTGCCAAATGTGGTCAATTTCCATCTTTTCAGGCGAGGGCGGTCGGGTAGCCTCGTGGTTAAAAGCGTTCGCTCGTCACGCCGAAGACCCGGGTTCGATTCCCGACATGGGTACAATGTGTGAAGCCCATTTCTGGTGTCCCCCGCCGTGATATTGCTGGAATATAGCTAAAAGCGACGTACAATCATACTCACTCACTCACTTTTCAGGCGAAACAATAGAACGTTTAAGGGAATAACGCGGTGTTTTAACACCTCGTCCTATTGTCCACATATCATTCAGAAATAACACCTTTAGGCGTCATGTTGGGTAATACTGAAAGCGTAACAAAAGGATATAACTCTCAGCTTATTTTGAGTTTGTAAACAAACGATGACCGGTCGTATACGTCAAATACTTGACGCAGAGGACAATGTACAGTGTACAGTTGAAGTCTTGAAGTAAACACATTTGTATTTAAATTTTACTAAAACTTTGATCTACTCTTCCAGTAAAAAAACACATGCCTGTTTCTGCTGCTGTTTGCTGAAACTATTTACAAAGATCTTGGAAGAGCCAAACACGATATGTAATTTTATTATTGATGGTATTACTCTTTTATGATAATATCCAATATCGTGAGGTAAGTTGACTAGCAATATACAACACACGGGACAGTGTAATTAACATCCTTCTTAAGTAACATTTGTATGAGTTAAGTTATGAGGAAAACATTGACCCTGACATGACTGATCAATGTGTCCCAAATCTTGACATGGCTACAGCAATTATATACATCATATTCTGTCCGTGATATGTCCAATTACTTTTTTTTCACACACGAATATATCATATGCTACTCATTGATAGTAGATTACCGTGACCAGCTACTGATATCAGAAGATGAAAAAGTCTATTCTATCCACTACATGCATACAGCCTAAAAGGTCCCTGAATTATATGTTCGATCTCGCTTCCGCCCTAATAAGACATGTGCCAAAATCCATTGACCAATAGGATATCCTTCTTGAGTTGAGGGTTAACATACTTTTTTTTATGATATGACCTTTGAGAATGATCATGACTAATCGACATGTCACAAGAACACCAGTGCTATAAAGTAAGCCCACGATATAACACTAGCAACGGTGGTCAAAACCAAGTAAAGCCTTAAAACATCTCCATTTAGACTGCGCTGCTTACAAATGGCCCATAAAGGAAGGCAATATAGTTCTTCCACTATCATACGTTTCTGAATTAAAGAAACATTGTTGTATCACTTCTACAAAATATACATCTAAAGAAACGCGTTCATGAACACGCCACTTATTGCTCTTCCGAATACATACTAGATGTGTCGTATGCTTACCTATGGCTAAGTATGCAGATCAGAATGGCAGCAATGCCCCCGAAGACAATAAATCCGATCACAAGTGGGTACATGGTTGACTGGGGCGATGGGACCTTGGAAGCATCTGAAACATTACCATAGCTTAATAATCAATTTGAAGAATGACGTGAAGTTATAGGATTCGCTATTCGCATTTTTGTTCTTCATTTGCCGACTGATTCTGTGCATAGGCATGGTCGACAGTACATCCTTCTTATTGTATGTACTCATCTGTATGGTCTGTACGTTCTTTGGAGGATTACATCATGCGGTCAAAACACACATCTTGTCCGAGGTAGCCAGAATTGAAAGATACATACCAACTGTTGTCACTTGGAGAACGTCAATACAGTGTCCACCATTGCGTTCACAAAGGCCTGACTGGCAGTTAGTGCAGGTCTGTTTGCAGTGTACTCCATAGTACCCGTCCTTACATTCAAAGCAGAAACCAGTTTTCATGTCACAAAGGTCATGTTTACAGTTGTAGCATCGCAAATGACACGTTTCTTTATAGTACCCCTCAATACACGCCATGCAATGACCTGTGGTTTGATTACATCTCATACCTTTGCATCTGGAGCTACAGCCATCTGTACATTGTTGACCTTTGAATCCATTCGTACAACCATTCGCACAGCTGCCGGTGTCTTGATCGCACACAGGTGTACATTTCCCTTTTGCACTCATGTCAGGCTGACAAAATGGAAAACAGTTTTCCGAACAAGGAGTGTCACATTTGTTTCCGTGAAACCCATTAATGCATCCTTCAACGCAACCTGAAATTAAACACTTTCCAACACAGTTTGTGCAGTCAGTTTCACAGTTCTCCCCAATGTAATGGATGTCACATTTCTGACATATCCCTGAAGTGACGTTACAAAGTCTACATCTAGGCACTTGGTTATCCGAGCATTGTTTCTTACAGACACCATTCCTGTAACATCCTTCAGGACAGGTATTCGGGCATTCATTCTCACAATATTCGCCTACATGGCGTTCTTTACACTCTATACAATTGCTTGCATCTCGTTTGCTACATTTTAAACAGTTTGATATGCATGGAATGGTGCATAGTCTCCCCGAAAAGCCATCTTTGCAGCCATCTTTGCAACCAATGTCTCCTTCAGTATTAACTGTACAACTTCCAAGAAGACAGTTATTAACAGTTGAACAAGCCGTTGTGGCTGTCGTAATCGTTGTACATATTGGATCCGTACATTTTTCACCGATATATATGCCTGAAAGGGGACAAATGAGATCATCAAAATGGGTTTACTCATACTAATATAAATACAAAATTTACAGAGGCTGTAGTTCACTTATGAGCAACGTCATAACCACGAACACTCTGACGATGCTTCCGGTTTTGAGAAACATATTCCTATTGCAATGAGAACAGAAACCCCTTTTTTTCTATAATCATGTGACCTGTCATTTGACCGAAACCAAAAGTTGTTGAAAAACTGAAAATCCTAAATTATACATAGTTTCAATCTTAATTTATCAGCTGTTATTTTATGAACAATTTAAACCATTTGTCTGTAAATGTGTACACTAATAAAGTATCTCGGCCTCAAGAATTCATTCCGTTGGATTTAGATGTTATCTACTGGTTATACAGAAGTCTGGAACCGATTCACTTCTACTTTTAAAACCAATAGAATTGTGGATATAGTTTCCTTGATCAAAAAAGAATCCAACATGACCGCCGCAAGAAGAAAGAAAATATTGAAAGAATGTTTTGATAAATGGATAGGTACAGAAAATGGAGTTTTGGAAGACATGTTCCAAAAAGATGGCTAAAGTGTTTGACCAGAACCTTCAATCCTGTGTGATGGCCAAACCATTCGGTTTATTGTCAAGGAACTTTGTCAAAATGTGATTGGCATTTTTTGTTCCTGTCGTACAAGTTAACGCTGTTATTGAGTTAGCAGTTTTGGCGATACATAAAGATCATGCCTTTTAAAATGACCTATTCATTGGTTAAATCCCTTTAGTCAACTGGCCAATGTATTGGTACTCATTGAACTTCCTAAAAGTATGACAAACATGGGAATGATTTACCAGACAATATATATTAACACTATATTGCATATGATACCCCCACAACTAAACATCGTTAAATAATTTTTGCCTTTAAAATAGACTGTGGTGCCCGTTCCGGTCAAAGTATCCACCTCCGCCTCAGGTTCAGATGCAATGATTTAAATGCACATGGACATCACAGAGATTCTTGAATAAATAACATGCTCTTGTGGATACTATTACGAGGATCCTACACATTACTTCCTTTCATATCCCAAATACTGTAATCTTCGTCACGATATGTACTACTACATAAAATGATATGACTTGGATTCAGTATTGTATGGAAATGCTTAAACATCTCCTGCAACTAACCTTGCTATTAATACAATGTGTTCATTTGTTTATTGTAAAGTTTGAAAGGTTAAAAAATTAAATATGTGTCTGCTTAACAATTACATGAATTTAATAGTGATGTATACGTGTGACTTCCTGGTACATAGAGGTAGCTAGATATGTCTACAAGCGCATATGTGTCTTTCTATATATGCTTTGAATCGCCGGTTTGGTAAAGTACTGGTATATATATATATATATATATATGTGTGTGTGTGTGTGTGTGTGTGTGTGTGTGTGTGTGTGTGTGTGATGTTATGTGTGTGTGTGTGTGTGTGTGTGTGTGTGTGTGTGTGTGTGTGTGTGTGTGTGTGTGTGTGTGTGTGTGTGTGTGTATTTGTGTGTGACTTGTATATTGTGTACTTGTGCATCATGATATTTGCAACAGTAAGTACAGTTATAAAAATTTCTTATTTTATGTATAATTTATTCTTATTAATTGTGAAATGTCCTTGGAGGGAAATCCCATATCCCTTTTCGCAAATAAATATTGTTTAAATCACAAACATGAAAAGAATATAACCAGCGGCTATTCTATCATCAAGGTTTTAAATAAGCTCTTAATGATAAATATAACTTTATTGGTGTCGGTTATTTTCAGGATGTTAAACAAATACAACCCTGTCTATTTGTTCCCTTTGTTGCAATACGTTTTCGTTCAATGTACCCGTGATATATTTCCACATTGTGATTTTAAAGATTCATACCCGTATTGAAGGTGATTGTGAAGGCAATATAGATCCATATCCGTAAAAGGTACCTGGAATAGAAGTAAAATAATATAAATCTATTTTGTCTATACAATAACCTTTCATGACCAAATTACTGTTTGATAGTCATATACTAACTCACATATTTCAAGCATTTTGAGAATTAGTGTTAACCTTCTCTGTACAATCTGAAACAGTTAAAAACAATAGTTATTCCAAATAAAGCTGTGTCGGGTATTACCGAACAAAATTTTATTTCCGTATATAATTTACCACATCATCCACCATTACAGCTATTGGAATGCGCATCCTATTAAAACTTAACGTCTTCTTCCGGAAGACATAGAAAGTCTATTAAAAACAAAGATCAGGAGAAATATCCGAAGTCAGACACCGGGCATTACATTCATGCACACGTTTCGAAGATTGACCATGAAAATGCTGTGATAATAAGTTTGGTCAACACTGGGATGTTCTTTTACAAACTTAACCTCCAGCATAATTTCTGGAGCATAAAGCATTCTTTCGATTGTTCAATTGGAAATAGATAGTCGGTTTAACACTGTTTCGTCTTTTCGGCAAATTCCAAACAAAGCCGCTTCATCGCACTTCACAGGCTTCAGCGACAATCTTTGTTAGTTAACTCATTTTTATTTCCCTTTAAATATCGGGAAACGATTGGTAACATGTGTGCCTGATTCAAAGTCTGTGCATTTCGGAGATTTTGATTTTCGCACTTTATGTAGAAAACTCGTGTTAAGACAAAAATTCAGAAAGGATGCACACGAGAGTATAAAAGGTGAGCACATCGAGGGGAACGTGTCACAATTGAAAAAAGAACGCTCCAAGCATGTCTTGATTAACTGCAGAAGAAATGGAGATAGCAGTTGGGTTGGGCGGCAACCGGGTGACAGTGGCTCGACTTCTCCAGAGGTAAAACGAGACAGGACACACTAGGGACAGGCCTAGGAGTGACAGACCACGCGTTACACAATCTGTTGCAATTATATGTCCCTGACCTGAAGTATAACCAAGGGTTATTAATCTCAATTCGCGGATTCGGTGATAATGCCTTCAATGTAATTGTCCAAACCAAAGACTAAGACGGGCATGTCGATGTCATCCCTCAATTTCAGCCACGTACATAGAAACTCGTCTTTATATGGAGATATGATTTACATTGAAAGGTTCGATGTACACATAAGTTGTTTTTCACTTTAATCAGAACACAGTAGAAATTAGGTGGGGTGTCGCTGTTCTGTAATGCCCGAGACTGTTCTCCATGAGAATTTCGTCTCCTAGTTCATGTATTTTGTTCGCTTTTTTCTCGCTTGAACTGAAATATATGTTGGAAAAACATTATTTGGTACTATTACAACTACAACAAAACACTTACATTTTATGCAACCGCTTCTTTCTGTGGACGAAATCGATCTGAGGTTAAACGGGAAATATTCATTTGACCGTCTATTTGCTGACATGAAACCGAAAGCGTAGTGCATTTCCGTGTATTTGCTTCAGGTTTATTCTTCCCGTTCAACGATTGTATAAATGTTTGTTCGTACATGTTTACATGTTTGTACGTACAATCCCTAAGCCAAAACACAACTCACAATTTTGATAATCGTAAAGATGATAACAATCATCAGTTTTGACTCAGTTACTTACGAGTGTGACATTTGACAAACGGATGACCATGTCAGACAATTTCCGAAGTAATACTCTGTACCAGACCTTTTCAAATTACCTACATGCTATGTGTCTTTTGAATGTGGAACCAATACATTTTTCTTGCTTACAGCGTACAACTGGAAAGGAATTACATCAACTGCTTGCAATAACCATATGCGTGTACCTACAATGTGAGTATGTTTGGTACAAATAATCTGACAATTCAGCTCTCCTGAAAATATGTATACTAAACTCATATACTAACGATAGATGGGAAAGAGGTTTGTATGAGATATTTTAAGTTATCTTAAGGATGTGTATGAAGATTGTTTGCATCGGATAATTGAAATTATTATAAGGATGTGTATTACCACTATCTAAATTTTTCTAAGACAAATACTTTTTTATTATCTAAATGTTGCCCAAATGGCAAAAAACAGGTGGTACGTGTAAATGGTACTGCGCTCTACCGCGCCAAACTTTGCTGTAGAGGCATACAAGGTACTCAGTCATTCATCGTATTCACCTTTTCGCATACACTATGTAAATAATAGTATGTTATTGCATTTAACATTTTAAGCACAAATGGCTAAATCGTTTATCTATAACAAACCATCTACACGTAAATGTGCTATTCCCCTTTTCCCCTATATGAAAGGTTACATCCATGGCGATTTGACTTTCAAGTCAACAGCAATAATTGACTTGTCGATGGAACACACCCATTTCAAGTCGCGCAGTGATTACAAAATCACAGCAGCAGACATCCTCAAGAGCACACGATGTTTCACATCAAGTTATAACTTTGTAATGGGACTAATTGGACTTTTTGGATATGGAGACGAGTTCAGGTTGAGATTCGTGACCTTTATGTCATATGTATTAGGTATATCAGAGTATGGTAGATTGGTGTATTCATGCTATTTCTAATCCAACTTTTATATTACATTTTCTAGGTATCGCTATTGCTAATGGTATAGACCACCATTGCCTGTCGGTATCTGAGTCCAGGACATGTAAGGAATGTTATATTGGATGGTATAGTGATTACTGTGACAAGATGTGTCAACACTGTAACAAGGGTGGATGTAGCAATACAGGAGTTTGTCTTCAGTGTCAAGCTGGCTATTACTCTGCAAACTGTTCACTGACATGTCCACCTCAGTGTAGAGATAGCAATGGTGACCGTGTCTTCTGTGACCGTACAACAGGGAAGTGTCTGGAAGGCTGTAAACCCACATGGTGGGGAGATAAATGTGAACATAGGTGTGGAAAACAGTGTACTGGTTCACAGTGTTTCTTTTATGATGGTTCTTGTGCTTTTGGTTGCAAGGACGGGTTTACCGGGACCCATTGTGACAAAACCTGTCGAGTAGGATGTCTCCATGGCACCTGCAGTCAGCTGACGGGGATATGTCTTCGTGGATGTAAAACTGGCTTCTATGGGCCCTCCTGTGACAGACATTGTACTGATAAATGCCTTGACAGAGATTGCAGTACAGAGATTGACGGAGATACTCCTACCTGTACTCGTGGCTGTGTACCTGGTTGGAAGCCTCCCATCTGCGATAACCCCTGCCCTCCAAACTGTTTATCCTGCACTGAAGCTGGGTTGTGCTCATCCTGCAAGGCAGGGTTCACAGGAACTAGCTGTGAGAAGAAGAAATGCAACTGTCTTGGTTCCGGTTGTAGCGATGACAGAATTTGCGATGGATGTCCTCATGGGTGGTGGGGACAGACCTGTGAGTTGGCCTGCTCTCGAAACTGTCTCAAATGTCAACAGAAGAGTGGCAACTGCACAACATGTCGCCAAGGGTTCACATATGATGGAAGAAGTCAATGCACCTCCGTGATCAATGGTAATGGAACCTCTCAATGTAGGGGATATGCTACTATTGGTAGTTGCCATCGTTTAACATGTTATACGTACAGTGGAAATTAATCATAGTAAATGTTCCCTTATAATAAAAACGTGATGAAAACCGTAGACATTTAATCACTTTACATCGAATATAAAAAAAAATACTAACTTTTTGGGATCTAGTAGGGTTTTTTGTAATACACTTTATAAGTATTTTTACAAAGGGTAGGGTATTAGTAGGTATTTCAGTTTAGTAAAATTTGAAAGATTAAACTATATTCATAATCTAAATGTCACGCACCCAAATACATTTCAATTGTACAAAAACCTCCCAAATACAACACCTATAATATCATTATTGCCGTGAAAGACAACAATCACGTGATTTGTTTGAGGGTTGAAAATCTATCTACTTGCAGAAGACAAACAAGTGAGATCTTTCCTTATTATGTTACTGTTTTTCATACAGCCACTGTCACCGACGTCCCAAATCAAAGGCAAGAATCACATGTTTCCATTGTGATTATTTCAACCATAGCCTGTCTTCTTGTAATCGGGGTTTTAATCGGGATCTCTATCAGGTTAGTTGTTGATTATTTTCTTTAACTGACAAACACATATTCCAGTTTTCTCCTATGGCATAAAGACTAAGCGTTTATAAATTAAAGATCTTTATATGCCTGGAAATGTGTTTTGAAACCGATGGAGTGACCAGAAATTCACCATACATATTAAAAACCTTCCGGGCTTATGAACCAATCATATTGTATATGTGTTTGTGTCACTCTGCAATGTAAAGTATAGGAGGTTACTCTTCATTAATTAGCATAACACTTCACTGTTCACACGACATACTGACAAAAGTTGGTTCTACTGTCGTACTCGGTGTTGCAGATTCCGAGGACGCATCCTGCCATCATGCATCAAACACGCCGAGGATGAAAACGCTCTCGATAATGAGGTAATGTTAAACATCTGAATAATAGTTTCTTCTGGCGCTGTGTAACGTATAGATATTTCTAATATCGTTATTCGTAAAATGAATCTGTCGAATTGTTGGGTACGGCAGTACAGTGGTTCACGGGACTGTCATTGTCAGGGGGCACGGGTGGCCAGGTCGTCTAAGGCTCCGCGATTCGCTGTGCAGAGTTGCGTCCCTTGGGCACGCCAGAAACCTATGATTGTGGGTTCGAATCCCGGTTCGCCCCGATTATGTTTCTAGGTTTGTCAGCACCATACCCGTGCTCGTGGGTTTCACCGAAGTTGTACACGTCTGAGACCTGCATCACTTCGGGCTTTCCTCCCACATTAAGCCGACACGCCCCGATATAACTGGAATACTGTTAAAAGCGGCGTTAAATCCAACTCACTCACTCACCTAACATTGTCGTTAGTTCACATTCACAAATTGACGAACATGGTAACGAGCAAGTCATCAAAATATAATCATACTTTTGTGATATACCTCGATATTGATTTGTATAGCAAAGTTAACAGCAGGAAAATCTTTTAATACTAAAATATTCATTAATTCGATTCCATTGGTGTTACGCATTAATAACGTTCTTAATTGTAAGCAATTTTTTTACGTATTCACAAGCAGGAACGTATGACAATCAATGCATCAATCGGTCAACTGAGGTTATGTCAATAGTTCGTTTTTGTCATTTGCCGACCTCAATGATCGAAAAGATATGTGTCTCTGCCACCGCTGTACCAATGATACTGTTACTTAAAATACACGTTTACAACAACGACGTCATCTGGCTTTTTGGCTAAAAAAATGGAAGTGATTGGTGAAGGCAAGCTAGTTTATTTTTCTTGCGTGAGTGCGCGTGTGTCTGTATATACGTGCGCGCGTGTGTGTATGCGTATGCGCGTCTGTGTACGTGCCTGCATTGATAATCATAGTCACTGTTGGTAGAATTTCGAATGATTGTAAAATTAACTATACATTGCTGTTCAATGAGTTCATTTAAGATAATCACAAAAGTGTCTTGAGACCAGTACCCAATGTATCTAAGTGTGGGTTCTTTTTGTCATTGTAGTAGTTGTGTTCATGTCATGAAATGACATATTACCAGATAAGATATATTGCCGTTTACAAAACATGAAAAAGGTGATACAAGGGAGGCCAAAGTGTTTTGGTTCTCTTTACGAAATGCAATGAATCAAGTGTTCGCGTATGACTTTAGATGCGGACGTTCTTTTTTAAGCTTGACGCAAATCACCTTATCAACATTCGTATTTAAGGAAGTGACATAGCACTAACTCCCGTTCTGTTTTGTCGTAAGCAAAATGCAACGTAATCGTAAAATGAGAGTTTGATAATAAACGCTTTTTTATCGATCTGACTTTACTCTGTGATTTTCGGCGACACCGCTTCATAACGGCGATAGGTTGATTTAGAATATAAATTATATCGGCCATTTACTACGTTGCCTTATAACATCTATGGGAAACAACACACCAGACACTTCCCTCTTATAAATAACGTCGTCCAATTTACGAGGTCAGCATGTTGCGAGCGCATGTTCGAATCTCCAGAAATGATGTCTGGATAGAACAATGTTTTATCGTGAAATAAGCCAAGCTTCGTTCTTCTTTGTTCTTTGCGATTTATGGCGTTACTATCTTATGCATAAATATAAATCATATTTATGTTATATAATATCTTATGCATAACTATAAATCATTGCATTAAACAGCCCATTTTCCATATGTTGTAGGAGCCGGAATTGTCAACAACCGTCTTGCTCGAACAAGATCGCGACCCAAAAGAAGATGTATCGTTGAATAATGTGTGTTAATTATTTCCAGCTTTGGCTTTAGAAGGTCTATCTTGAGACGATTGAGAGTTCTAATATGTCAGGGTCGATCGACCAACATACTAGTATATGCTTTTAATTTAAGCTCTTTTCATCAGCACAAACATGTGATTTTGATATATCTCAGAATTGGGCTGAATTGACAAGTGTATCGTATATCATGTATGATCATTTTTACATTTCCCATGGCAATAATAATATTTATTATATTGCATAAAGACCCATTTTGCGGAGATCTATAGAGTTTAACATACGACTTATATAATTAATGAAAGTACTTGACATGTTGATGCATCACACGGTTATATTTACTGTAGATATCATGCTCTAGCTCTGGAAGTTCATGTATTAGCTTTCTGCGTCATTTTCATGTTGAAATCTGTGTGTATGCAGATTAATATTTGTGGTTACTGTATACACCGAAACTTCAGCTGCCTCGAAGGACTTGGGTCTACAGAACATACGGAGTTATCCGAAAACAAGAGATTTTTTATATTTGAAATATGAGTACAACACTACACATGACTAATGCGTGTAGTTTGTACAACACCAATACTCGCTGCAAGTAATCAGTGCATGTTAACAACACATCTACATATACTGGTTCAGCATGTACTTGTTGCCATATTTATCGACAAGAATCAATTGTCTATGGTACTCTAGTTTTTATCATATAACACAAATACTGAAATCAATCAAATTTACATACTTCACTGATTCCGGATTCCGGATTTTGTATCTACAAGCCAACTATTGTCAGATGTATCTCAAAACGAACAACTGCGCATAACATACATGAAATAATAAATCTTTTTGACGTTTGATTTAACAGAAATATGGAAATAAGACTTTTCCGAGAGAGGCTTTACACTCTTAGCAAACCCACATGTTACCATATGCATGTTCAACAGGCAAGTGACAGCTCATGTCACCATCAACATATTGATCGATCTAAGTATGTAAAACGGCAGTGTTCGTGTTCCCTTCGCATAATATATCCACGTTTGTATGAAACACTGTCGAATTATAACAATGAAAGGGAGAAATACTCAGCATATATGATCAACTACTGTGTACATGTGTGACCACTGACAAAACATACTCTAGGGGAGCATATTACGCCTTTTTTTATTTTACATGAACATATTTGAAGATGGAATTACAATATGCCGTATGTATGCCGTAATTTAACATAGTATATTTAGATTTACTACTTATTCAATGAGTATTATCGCCTTAATGAATGGCACTACAATGTAATATTTTTTTACAGCTACAACAGTCTCGTTGCCAGAAGTCAGTGTATGTTAGGGTATCCATTGTTTGTAAAACATGCCTATAAGCAAATATCGACCTTCTGTCCTGTTGTACCCTCGTCGGTTCATGCACGTGCATCTCGGTGTATACAGACTGACCTTAATCATTACTGTCACGGTCGTAACACCTGATTCGTTTCCAGTTGGATTACCAAAACAAAAACACCACTGGTGCAAATTATCCAATTAATCTGCATTTTTATTGTTTATATTTTCAGTTATGTGATTCTTCAACCGACAAATCGGTTGATGTATATAGAATTTGTTTATGTTTCGAAAGTTTATTTTTGTTTGACATGTTTTGTCTGTGAGTGTAGTGACATTCTTTCTCGTTGTATTTTTCAATCATTTTTCTGTTATAATGATTTTGGTATATTTGGTGCATTTCAGCATTGCAAATCTATACTTCGCGCGTAACCTCCCCGCCGGCTTTTGTGAAAAAAACATATTCTGAAAAAGAGAGATGTCGGTTGAGATAGATAGGGTTATTTGCGTCTTGTCTTGTCCTGACGGCATACTTACTGTTTGTATTTCAATTCCAGGCTTTCATTTGTCAATAAGAAAAGATCGATAAAGTCGAGGAAGGGGTGTAGCTATATAAGTAAAAAGAAATGATATGCTAACAATATGGATCATCTGTGCATAAATTGACTCGATTCATTATGGGTAATGGCAAAGGATATTCTATAGGGCAGATAAAAGAGAGGCTTACATGCGGTTGACAGATCAGTCAATATGTAACGGAATAGATTTGAATATAACAACTATTACAGATGGGGACTTTAATCTAGATATTCTTAGATAATGTAAGAACAAAATAGATCACTTACAAGCAAAGACAAAGTGGGATCATTTCTTATTATCCAGAAATATTGATGTTATCGCAGAATGTTTTACCCGGACAATTTTTGACGTGTGTAATAATCACATTCCTAATGGATCACTATGGATCACTAGTGAGATACATGTACCTCGGTTGCTACGTCGGCATATACTCATAAACATCTCGTGTTTGAATCTGTTGTTTTACTTGTTACAATTTCTAGTTTTATTATTTTACTTGTATTAATTATTAATGCTACTGTTTCCATTGAGGTATTGCACATTATATGTACTTTGTTTATTTCAATGTTTAATATTTACGCTGATGTGTGCTGTCTGTGTATATGTTTATGGCATCGTAACTTGGACATTTGCCCAATCCATTTGACTTTTTAATGTCAATATAATACGTTGAATACACATTATATGTAATATTTCTAGTTTAAGAAAATAGAGGAGATTTCATGTGTTTATGGAAATGGTTATGTCGCTTTTTTATGAATCTCTAGCAAATAAATATTCATGTTTCATGAGAAACCAATTCAAATTTAAAATGTGTGTTATCACCTAATACAGTATGCTTTATCCACTAACAAATTAATCTATCAAACAATACTACCCACAGCCTTGGGTAATTGACCCACAATGCATTTCGGGTAACACTTCTGTATTTGCTTTAATAAAAATATATTTTTACATATATTCTTTGTTGTGTCAGTGTTTGCATCAACAATGTTTAGGTTTTAGAAAATACTGACTGCTGTCACATCATACAAAACATCCATATCGAGATTTAGTACATGTAATGATAACAATGCACTCGAGAGCATTCTGTAAAAAACGACCCACACGTATGTAGCCAAATGCATAATTTTACAGTGACAAGGTCACTTTACAAAGAAGTGTGTGCGTGTGTGTGCGTGTGTGTGTGTGTGTGTGTGGCTGATTTTACTACTCCGATAATATAGTGCTAGCCCACTGAGATACCATGCCACGGTTTAATATGAATACCCCACTCAGTCACAGTGCTCTGACTCCGAGGCGACAAGTCCTTGTTTTAGCCCCTTAATGCAGATCACCTGGCAGGGCAACAACAAGTACCATCTTTTAACGTCTTCTAGTATGACGCGGCCGGGGATCGAACCAGACAACCTTCCGCACACCGAGCACACGCTCAACCACTAGACAACGGAGGAGGTAACTTTACAAGGAAGGACATAAACAACTGATGTTGACATTTGAACTTTATAATTTACACAACATCGCAAATGCTAAATACCATCTCACATAAAGTTAGCCATTGCCCATGAGTATGATGTTCGTGTCATGTGTGCAAATAATCTGTATTCATGAACTTTTCAAATCAGTGACCTCAGTACACTGGTATAGGTAAGCTGTCAAATTTGAGGGCACGGGTGGCCCTGTCGTCTAAATCGCAGTTTTGCGTCCCAGATAGGCGTGTCAGAATCCTATGACCGTGAGTCGATTCGATTCCAAATACTTAGTATATATTTTGAAATATTGACTGTATAACATGTTTATGATTAATTAATAACCTAAATAAATGTAAATGGAGACACCAGAGAGCTTGGAATTTTGGCGCTTTTCTATATACGACTGTGACGTCAAATCTTTTGCATCACAATGACCAATATGACGTCATAATGGTGACGCGCGAAGTAGAACGAAAGCCTTGCAAAGCTTGCTTAGTTTTCTTTAGGGATGCGCACCTCGTGTTAGCTTACCAAGTTGCCCTGCTTAAATGCTTTCAATGCCTGTTATATGTTCCAGTGAAGTATTACTGTGTAAACAAACTGCTTGAGTATAGATCTATGCAGCGCCATATTTTGTTCACAGGCTGTTGTTGGTGATTCCGTAATTCAGATCGATAACCCACTGAAAACACTGGACTCAACCACTGCCGCTTCACTCAGTATATTTGCTAACACCAAAGAGTTTGCGTTCTATTTAGTCATGGTAGAATGGAGATAAACATACTGTGTTTTCAATGTAGAGCTAGGTTCGGTTCCAAATTCAATTTAGCGCGGTTAAATCTACAGGTTACCTAGCTCTATATTGAAAACACAGTGTGTTTATCTCCTAATTGTTACTATGGCATTAAACAACACACACACACACATACACACATACACACACACACACACACACACACACACACACACACACACCCGACATCTATTTATTATGTTAAAACGTCAAATAAAGTTCATAATTACATTTCCTTAAGATAAAATCTTTCTCCTCTAAACGGTAATGTGACCACATACGGTTTACAAAGTACAAATGCGGGTGTTGTTTTTGTAGTCTAAGAAACATGCATAACCTCCTCACAGACTTCCATGTTCAGAAAAACAATTATGTAGATATTGATATCCAGCAGTCAATCTGTAGTGGCAAAGCTTGTCTCGGACATAAATGCAAATAAATCGACACTATAAATACTTCCGTGCTTTCATAATGTTATTTGTACCAGTTCAAATATATTTTGAAACATTGTATAACATGGAAGCAATTTTAGAAGATTTGTCATAATAATATGTCGATTGATCCTTTGCTTTAAAAGAGACGAGCCCATAAAGTTTGCCATTACTGGGTAAGCAACGAGTAGCTGTACTGATAAAGGTACCCCATAACTAGAAGAGTGTTAATCTGATGTGTTGAGTAGCTGCACACTGTTTTACCTGTACACTGGCTTACATCTACATATAGCATGTCATACACACAACAACGATGTGCCCAACACGGAAAGACGTATCTCGGTCATGATTCACACTTTGGAGTCGTCTACCGCCAATAACAACACGGAGGTCTATGTGGCACGGACATACATCAGATAGTTTCTGGTATGTATGAAAATAAGCTATTTTGTTGCGTGTTCCCCAGCTTGAATCTTCACAATCATGTTCGCTTATATATAAATCATAGATCGTATGACTGTCCACAATATGGTTCATTGTAGACGTCGATACGTATCTTGCTTGTACCTTTCATGGGAGAGGCACAATAACGGTTAAATGACTTTACACATTTGTCTCACATACCTTTTTTTGAAAATGCATTACTGGTTTCAATTATTTATTAAGAAAAATGTCATTTATTGCAAAGTAATGTTGAATAGCATGTGCATATTTCATCTGTAGTATAAAAATATCCAAATATCATATCATTGTTTAGGTCAGAATTTGAATGTTATGTAATTTCAATTACGATTTTCAGTGATTCATTATTATAATTTTCATATCTTTTATGAGTGTTATGACCAATAGAATCTGTTTCGTTGGATAATCGATCTGTGATGTTGACGTTTTGTATTAAATTTAAGTGAAAATGTAACGTCAATATTTCAGCCATGTCGATACATGTACACTAATAGTCTACACGTAAGATATATAATATAAAATTTATTAATCCAAATGACCTCATATATATTCGAGGTCAAATTGATCTCCCCAATATGAAACAAAACACAGTTCCATGTTGCATGTTTAGCTGCACATAACCATGCAGCTACAAAAACATTGATTCCTGTTCCGTGAACTGACATGTGCGATAACACAACGTTATGTTGTTATCATTGGCTCGTGAATAAGTGTTAACAAAGGTTACTCGTCAGTAATGTAATGCTACCTTTCAAGTACAGCGGTACAGGGCGAGGACAAATTTTAGATATCCATAAGCAACATTACTGTAAAAGCTATACTCGATGGTCTATATTTTACATATAGTCGGATAATGCATAAACATTCATAAACCTCTTCTCATATCACATATCACTTAAGCTACTTGCCCATAATGCAGTGAGAGGAAACATATGCCCTTGTGGCATGTGCACGTACTACTTAACACCTGTTAGTGTCGAAGTTACATGTAATTGATTGTACATCGTAGCGCAAGGCGAGGTAAATTAGATTCAGCTTTTCCAATACAGAGGTCATTGTGACACCACCAGACACCCGATAAAAGCTCGTGTCAGGTATGAGTGGACTATGATCGATCTGTTTATCATGAATTACGTAAGTAGTGTACAAGTGCAGATAAGATTCCCGACATGGGAAACATAAAGGATGTACATGCGTATATGTAGACATATGCACTTCAATTTGAACATACATCCATAACATGGCAGCGACGATGTGCATAGCTCTCTTCGGGTAAGGTGTGGCGCCTTCAATAAACAGCTATCAGCATCTATGTCTGTTTTACTTGTGTCAAAAATGAACAGTCAACAAAGCAAACAAAGTAGTTTTTAGAAATAGTTTAATCTTTCGAAGGTTTGAGAAGAAATAATAATAATACAGTAAACTTTGAATCGTACTGGTACATAAGCATTAATAAATGTTAAATGCGAATGTCTAGCGTTAATATTTCAGTGGTGAAACTATTTTCCTCAATATGGAAAACAATATTTCCAAGTTGCATAATATAATATGCAGCCGCACTTAGTTTATAGTTGCTTTTGAACAACATACATGTAGCTATGCAGCTACAAAAAAACCCATTTATTCCTGATCCATGAACGGACATGTGCGATAACACTACATTATGTTGTTAACATTGGCTCGTGAATCTTAGGGGTAATCAAATTTAACGTTACCCATCAGGAGTAGAAATTACTGAACGACAAAATTGCTATACCCATAGTCAAATGTAAAAGTCATCCCCGATGCACTATATTTGACCTGTGGTCGCATGTATAAACATACATAAACATCTTCTCATATGACTTAAGTAACTTGCCCACAATCCAGCGAGAGAAAATGTGCTTGTAAGTTTTAATACCAATCAGTATCGTAGTTACATGTAATGTTTTGTACAATGTCACCGTAGCTCATGGTGAGAAAACTTGTCATTCAGCTTTGTCTTCTAGGACGTACATGTTTACTCAATGAAGATTTATATTTAGCCCTTGGAGACCAGCCACTACCTTCTTTTCACTGGACCAAAGGTTATGTAAGCTAATGTCACAAGATTCAGATTAGTCTCCGACATATAAAAAATAGTTATAATGAAAATGAATACATGCAAGGCTCGTTTAAAGGAGACGAAGAAGCTTTATTGATATATGAGCGATTCTAGACATTTACATATCGTGACTACACAGTAATTACAATCAATTTGTATGTAATAATTATGTCAAAAGTAATAATCAGTTGTAAAATAACATTCAACAATGCCAAAAAAATATCATATTCTTTAAATAGAAATAGTTGAAATTTTTTATACTCTGGGGAGAAATAGTAATAATACCGAAACGTAAGATGTTGACTCGCACTGCAACATAGCATAAATAAATGTTAATTATAATAAATAACATTACATGTAGATTACTTCAGGATGATAACTTGTCATGAATTGTTTTTATCTGAAAACACAAACTTCTCAATCCGTTTTTCCACATCAGCCGGCTAGTTGAAGCAAAAAAGCATAAGTGAAAATTAAGAAGGCCTTACTCAACTTTAGGTGCAAACCAATTTGTATTAAATTATATATATCTGTACACAGCATTGTGATGATGCGGCATGTTCCTATCTTGGAACTGGGTATCACAAACGTAACTGTCACCTTGAACACAAATGCATGCCTACAACAATCGATGCATTGACATTCAAGTCTGATGAAAGCAATCTTCAATCAATTGCCTGTGTCCAACTTGGCGTGGCGTCCTTAAGCGTGGGGC